CACCAATAAAATTTTTACCCATAAGTGGCAGGGAAATCCAACTGCTGGTACTTTGAGGGTGCATGAGAAACTCAGAGTTCAGCTGGGCCCAGGGTGGAAGAGGGGCAGGAAAAAGGGAGAGTGGGGGCAGCTGGTGCTGGCTGGTTTCTTCAGCTTCAGAGCAGAACACTCGCTGGGAGTTGTTGAAGCTTGGAGACAGGAGTTTGCTATCACCCAGATGGAGCTGCTGTTTTTGTTTCTTCTTCATTCTTCGCTGGTGGGCCTCGCATCCCCTATCCTGCCGGGATGTACCAGTGCCAGGCACCGCTGCGGAGTTGCTGATACACCTCAGCCACTGGCCTGGGAACTCAGCTCACTCCTGCTGTTCCAGCTGAGTGTTCCTCAGAGCCCTGCAGGAGCACCGGGACCGACTGCCCAAGGGGTTTGTGAAGCAAAGCCTCTCCTCCATTCCTTCCTGTCTTGGCCGAGAAGGCTGTCACGGGGTCCCTGGTTCTGTTTTGTCGTTAACGCTGTAGTTATTGTTGTTTGTTTGCCTTGTTATACATACTAGTAAAGACCTGTTATTCCTATCCCCACATCTCTGCCTGAGAGCCCCTTGATTTCAAAATTGCAGTAATTTGGAGGGAGGGGGTCCACATTTTCATTCCAAGGGAGGCTCCTGCCCTCCCTTCCAGACACCTGTCCTCCAAACTAAGAGAATGGTACCCATGCTACTGCTGTTTGCTGTATTCTGAATAGCTATGATGTAGGACCTTTGCCGGCCCTCTGCAATGGGTCATTTATACAAACCATTCACAAGGAATAGAATTCAGCTTTAAATCTTTTATTTTTCAGACTCAGCAGAACTAAAATTAGCCATACAACTTTAACTCTCTACTTAAATGACATCTGAAAATGTTACTTCCATGTGATTAAAATATTAGTCTGCCTTTGTGACCTAGTAATTATTCTCTTACACATGAGAAGAAAAAAAAAAAACATCCTTCACATTCACTGAAAAGAACATTAGACCCTTATTCACCTATTTGGGAAAGGGCTGGAGGAAAGAAGCCTTGTGTGAAAAAAAAAAGAAAAATCATGCTAATGCATTGTCACAATCAGAATTGCATATTCACCTGAATAGTACTGTCAGGAAAATTAATCCACAAACACCAGAGGTTTATGTCCAAAAAGGAGACAGAGGAGTCCTTTTACTTTATTCAAACAAAGGGAGAGGCCATGGGGCATTCCCCTGGGGTCTCTCAAATTTTTGGAGGGTGCAGCCTCCTTTTTATCTTAATTCCGGCCGCTTGTCCCTTGTCTCTTTCCCCATAGGCTGAGGTACTTGAGAGGTACAGACTTCCCAGAATACCTGACGCCTGAGACCTGCCCCCACCCCCGCCCTGCATAATCTCCCTCTTAACTTTTGTGGAATTCATGGTGTTTCCTCAGTGTTCCTTTCATCTTTCAGTGGAATCTATCCCATTGTTCCTGTTATCTCTCAGTGACAGTTTCATTTTATCAGTAGACCCACAGCTTGTTTGTGAAGACAAAGCTGTCATTCCTCTCAGTACCAATTTGCTAATATTGTTTATAAATGAACAATTTATTCTACATCTTTATTCTAGTATCTGCATACATACTGCAAAATACTAGAATATATAATTTGCTTTCTTCTATATTTTGTTTATTACAAGGGAACACTTCACAAGAAAAATAAGAAAAAAATCAACTTTTTTATCCAGTCATCTCATAGTATGTCACTTGTGGAGTTCCAGTTCTGTTTGACAAGGGGTAAATTGTTTTTTATTTCTTGGGAAAAAACATCAATAGCAGGAAAATGTCTTAGCTGTTAATTGGGCAAGAGCCTCCTAATGCATTCCACAATCCTTACCAATCTTCAAAAACACAAGCATAGCAGTTTCTTCAATCATCATTTCATAAATAGCAGAGATCTGCCTCTCCTTTTTCTTTTCTCTAAGAAAGAGATTTTTCTTAATAAGGAAAGAAAAAAAAAAAGAGGAAGATGATTGTGGAAGATGCCTTAGCCTGTCATTTACAGTATCTTGCTTCTCATGATAGCTGAGATTATCAAGAGTTTGCACATATGAGCTAAAAATACATAGATGGAGGCGGTTACAGACATCACACTCTTTCTTTTCCTGTTTATACTTTTATTAAAAATGGAGTTCCAGAAAAAATTCATCATTTGCACAGCTACCTGGAGAACTTGACAAGCACACTGAAATAATAGGAATGTGGACCAGTGTATTTGTTCAATGAATACCATATGGATTTGGAATTTGGTAATCAGGAATCTGGCATCGCTTTATAATAAATTTGGGACAGATAGGAACATTTTTGTGTAATTCCTATAACCAGGTGCTTTTGTCTCACTGAAGTTAAACTACCTTTTACTATCCCTGTTTCTATAAGGAAGACAGAATTGGAAATCAGTATAAAAGGTTTATACTGTCCTGTCTCTTGCCTGTGTATGGATGCTAAATATGAGCAAAAGCAGGGAGCACAGCGCCTGTGGAAAAGCAGGCCACAGAATTTTCTCAGTCTCGCCTGTGAAAGTGGCCTGGGAAATCATAAAGAGGAATTAAAACAATCCTCAGAGATAGAACACAACCTTGCAGGTGCTGTTTGTCAGTTTCTTGTTTTCTTGCAAGAGAAAGTCGAGGGGTGGTGTACCCCACTGACCAATGATGGTAAAGTGTTAGTTTACTAACCAGTTAGAGTTTTGCCTTTCTGTACTTTCACATATCAGTCTCTAAAAGAAGATCTGAGGTAATAAACCTTAAGGTCTCCTGTTCAACTCACAAGAGAGTCTGTGTCATTCTTCTCGCCATTCCAAATACATCTACACTTGTCCATGCCCATGATTATTTCTTTACTTTTTTAATAAAGTCACTGATGGACCTATTACTTCCTAGCTATGCCAGTAAAATATTCTGTAGTTGTACTTAGTTAATAAAAGGTGTAATAAACATTACCTGAAAAGAAGACATATGTCTTCATGAACTGAATTTCATAACACAAAGCTAATCAAAAAGCAAGACTTGAAATACTGCAAGAAGAAACTCCCTACAAAAAATCTGATTTATTCTAGAAATAGTTAAGAGACTTAATTTACAGTGAACATTCTGAGTATAATTAGGAAACATATCTAACCTGACAAGCAAAACTAAGACTTAACTCTCATTGAAATTTGTCCCAGAGATTCAGGTACCTGGGAACAGTAGGTAGTTGACAAATCTTATATTTGTTATCGCAATATTTGATAGTCACTCTTAATGTATATCTGGGGAGAAGCAAATAACTTTGGCTAGTGTCTTTGGTATATTATTCATCAGGAACCTCTGATAGCAGAAAGTATTCTAACAGACAAAAAAATCGTATGCCTGTTAAAAGTGTTAAGAGCAAGCTCAAGTGCAGAGTTTCCACACCAAATGCCAAAACTATATAACACAGGGAACTGTGGCTAGACAACATAAATTCAAACTTCATGCTTTATACTTCTAGGCAGTTTTAAACACTGACAGATTTCAGACATTTCTTTTTTTTTGGTACCACAGAAATACTGACTCAGGAGGACCGCTGACATTGGTGTCTTTCAAGACCAACTACAAGTTCCAGAAGGGGCAACAGCTCCATTTAAGAGGAAGACAACTGCCACAGTTGTACTTTCAGAATACATTCATCCACAGATCTCCATAACTTCATTGTCTCATTGATATGACATAGCAAGGAATACAAAGAAAACAGTTGTATTTTTTATAGGTTAGTAGCATGTCCTTCTAACTATATAAAAGTTGCCAAGTATCTCTTCTGTTTTAGAATAGGTGAAGAATAAGAACTTATTACGACTGTAATTCCATAGAAGCTCAAATACGCATAATTTCAAAATAATATATTGAGTACAAAAAATATTCAATCTTTGTACTAATTGTTCCATTTCAAAACCACAAAATTCCTCCCACCCTAGTTGTACCATACCAGACCATACCATCTCTGCCATAGTTATATATAGTATTTCTTATTGCAAGACGAATTACTACTCTAGCTTCAATACAGTTCATATATTTAATAGCTTGTTTGCTTTTTTAAGCTTATAAGTGAAGAATCTTCTAACCCCTCCTAAAAGGCTTTTGCCTCAGTTCATTTTGAAATTATTATAAGAATATGGTCTACAGAAACTGACAGGTCCTCCATAAGAGGAATGACAGGTTTGTCTTTACAAACAAGCTGTGGGTCTGATGATAAGATGAAACTATCACTGAGAGATAACAGAAACAAGGGGATGGATTCCATTGAAATGGATGAAAGATGAAAGAGACTGAGGAAACACCATAAATTCCACAAGAGTTAAGAATTAAGAAGGGGATTATGCATTTTGGGGGGGCATGTCCCAGGTATCAGGCATTCTGGGAAGTCTGTACCTCTCAAGTACCTCAGCCTATGGGGAAAGAGAGAAAGGGCATACAGCCGGAAATCAGGATAAAAGGGAGGCTGCGCCCTCCAAAAATTTGAGAGACCCCAGGGGAATGTCCCATGGCCTCTCCCTTTATTCAAATAAAGTAAAAGGACTCCTCTGTCTCCTTTTTGGACATAAACATCTGGTGTTTGTGGATTAATTTTCCTGATACCCACACGAAAGATTAATAACTCTTTTGGCAGTAGTTCCATATGTTTGTCTCATCTTCCTTGACTATTCTCTTAACAGTGCTCGCTTTTGGTAATACTAGTTTGCTTCTGTGTCACAGTACTTATTTTAATGAAAGTGGAAAGGTAGAAACTACTCTGTTCAATTTTCCTCACAGAAACAGATAAAATAACAAAGGGGGAAGTGTTATATATACTATATATCATATATCTTATACATACAATTATATAATATTTTGTATAAACATATAAACAAAGTTTTATATATAAAACTTTATATATTATATTTATATATTTTATATATAAAATACCTATATTTATTATATATACATATAATAAAAAAGTTTGCTGTTCACTCACTTTTCTGCTTCACAAAGCAATGAGTGGTGTAATAAATTACAGAAATGGGAAGAAAACCACACAGAATATCCTACATTTTACTGCCATTTTCTTGAGAAATACTTGCATATTATCAATAATATAGCAACTAATAAGGGCTTTTATTTTAGAACTTTTCATGAAGCTTTCCAGTTGGCTTCCTCTCAGTTTCTTCACTGACCCTGGGGTTAAGTCGTGCAAAAGAGCTATAGAAGCAACAACATGGCCACCAGAGCAGCCAGCCAATGAAGACAACCCCTACTAAAGGAACCCTGAATTTGTGTTTTTCACATTTGAAACTCTGCCCACCCTTTGAACTTTTGCTCAGCCTCCAACATTTAGAAAAATGACTACCCTGACCATATCTGAACTGATTTATTTTCAAAACAGGAAACTACTCCATGTTTGAGACAGAAAGGATTTTCATTTTATTAGATAATTAATCAAGTACTGAAAAGAAAAAAAAAATTCTGTTGACCAGAAATGACAGCACAATTACAAGAAAACACCAGGCTTCCCTAAAACACCTCAAAAACAGATGCAGTCAGAATCATTGTGATCACCAGTCACAATAACATTTGGTTTTCAACGAAGTAAGGTGTAGCTGTCTTGCCTTTCACATCAAATAGTTAAACCAGATTTGCTTGATTTTTAAAGTTTTTACGCTGCTTTTGTGTTCATGCATTAGTAGCCTACTTCCATCAGTAAATCAGTCCACACGCTTAGGCCACAGACTTTGAAATCTCCATCTTGTGTCCTCAGGAGCTGCAGAGCAGCTTGGGTTTGTTCTTTAAGCAGTGTAGATCCCTGACAGAGGCAGATGAAGCGCTCCCTTAATTCTTCCCAAGCCAATTCAGCTTTGTCAATGCAACTTTTAACCCACCGTCCCTGCAAGGGGTCATAAATCAAGTGGCTTCCCCAACCGGTTAAGAGGTCCAAATAAGACCTGCTTAACTGGGAATAGTGACCAGCTAGGAAGGCAAGATGGGAATATGGGAGGTAAAGGCAAAAGGCAGAAAATCGCTCCTGGTTGCCCAACAGCCAGGAAAACAGGAGTCCAGCGGTGCATTCGTCTCCTGCAGTACTCGCCTGGTACCCGTCTAGACTGCTGCTCCCTTCTCGATCCCTGTCGCCAGCCTGCTCAGTGCCACGTCCCTGCTTGAGCAGAACCAGCGCCGCCGCCACGACCTCGAAGGCGCGGGGCTGGGGCAGCTGCTCCAGAACACTGCACAGCCAATGCACCTGCCCAGCGGCCTCCCCGACCTCCTGCCCCTCCTCCTGCAGTCGGCTCAGCAGCAGCTGCGCCTCCGCCTGCAGCTGCGGCTCTGGCACGGGCGGACGCCGGGGAGGGCGGCGGGACAGCGCTAGCAGACAGGCCGCGGCCTTGCGGCGGACGAGCACTTCCGGGAAGCCGGGGGCAGGGCTGGTCCCCGCGCTGGGAGGCGGCAGAAGATTGTGGAGCAGGCGGCGGCAGGCGGCGGGCGGCAAAGCGCGGTTCTCCAGCAGCGCCAGCCCCAACAGCTGTGTGCAGCGGCCCAGTGTGGGGAAGCTGAGCAGAGGGTACGGCTGAGACCGGCGCAGCCGCCGCCCGAGGGCCTCCCAGAGCTGGGGGCGGGCACGGAACCGGTCATAAAGGTGCTGGAAATACCGAGTCCACTCTAGAGCCCTGTCCAGAGTGAGAGAGTCCCAGTCCCGCACCAACGCGGAGCGGGACACAGCCAGGAGCACCGGCAGCTGCTCCACCTGCCCCCGCACAACCTCCATGTCCCAGCCTTGGTGCTACAGGTTTGAGCGGGTTCCCGCCGGGAGCCGGGGCCAACCCGAGCCGCGGAGGGATAGCGTTTCTAACTCTATTGGCTGAGCGGGACGTCAATCCGATGCGGATCCAGCTTTTGTTAAAGGAGTAGTCACTCACTTTCCGGCTGATCACCCAGCCAGGAGTGGGAAAGTGAGCTGAATTAAAATTATAAAACCCGAGCACTATTAATTTCTTTTTTTTTAAGTAAATAATTCTTCTCTAAGCCCTTCACCATCTTTGTTGCCCTCCTTTGGGCGCTCTACAGTAGCTTTATTTCTTTATTATAGTGTCGCCCAAATCTACACACAAGACGTGAGGTGAAGCCAATAGCAGAGTAGAACAATCAGCTCTCGCGACCGGCCGGTCTGTATGCTAAGAGACACAGAATATAGTGTTCCTAACACAGCATAGTGTTCCTAACTATCCCCTAAAAAAATAAACCTCTTCAGGAGCAAAGCTCCTCTGCCCCACCTTTGGGGGTACTTCCAAACTTCCGTGATAGCTCAGGCCCTGGAAGGCAGCCACGCCCAAGCTCAGCAGGGAGCAGGACTGCCCATCACTACCCACGGCTCTGTTCTGCCAAGGGCTGGACTCATCCTTCTACCCCACCAATTAATGGTTCCAGGCCTTTTCAGAGTACCTGCGCCAAGCCTCTGGCTGCCTGCAGGGATAATGGCAGACACCTGCAATGGCTGCCTGGGCACAGAAGCTGCTGGCATTTCCCAGATGCCCAAGAGAACATGGTGGAAACACTTTAACAGCTCCTCTCTACAGTAAGAAGAAGTGACTCCTCTACCTCCATCTCTGCTAGCTGAAGGACAAATTTACACGCAAGCAAGTTAGGCATGACTTGACACAGCCTACGTGTCGGGGTGACTGTTCTCAGGTGCTTTCCTAATATCTACTGCCTCAAAGACTTACACTGAGCTGGGTTACAGGCTCTTTCCCTCCATCTCCTTGACACAGCTACATTATATGTCCCCTCAGAGTGTGGAAGTGAGCAGGCTGGTCTGGCTTCTTGCAGTTCCCACAGATGCACCCTGTGCCCCTGCTCCTCAGGGTTACAGCAGTGGCATCCAGGTGCTGGAGCTGGAAGGTTTGGGAGCTGCTGGATATTCTTCTGGAAGTTTGGCAGCCCTGTTGCACAATCCTAGCCACTGGAGCAGGTCTGGAGGCAGCAGAGTGGCATGTTGACTGCCTAGTGAGCCCTTGGTGGCCTTGGTGCCTTTGGCTGAGCTGGGCTGTAGCAATGCCCAGGAGAGCAGCCCACCCAGCCTGCCAGGACATGGCCCTGTGTCCAGTCATGGGGACAATACTACCAGCCTGCCCAAGCAACTCCTTTAACTTTCTGAAAAGCACTAGCANTTCTTTTCTTTCCTGTCACTGGTAGTTTATAAAGTCTCTTTTCATGTTGATCTCTCTCTCTCTCTCTCTCTGGATAAAAAGATTAATCCGCAAGTCTCATCTGGGTAATGAAAGAGTTAACATCTTGCCCAGGCTTTTGTAGATGGTTTGGGGATCTCTGCCGAACAGGAGCTGGAGCCGTCTGCGATGGGAAGTTCCTCATGGCTGCTCTAGAGAGTGTAGTCTCTGCTCCAACCTGCTGCAAGTCCAGGGCTTCCCTCATTCTTCACTGGGCAGTTTCTAGTGAATTAGTTACAGCAAAACCTGCAGCCGAGCCAGAGATCGGCTCGGCCCGGCCCGGGGGGAAAACCTTCCCCAGGCCCCGCCATCTCCCGGCCGGGAGACGGGGCAGGCCCGGCTCCATCCCCGCCCGGCCACATGGCCTGGGCAGGGACGGGAGGCCTGGAGCTCCGCCACCCTCCACAGCCAGAAAACAAAGAGAACCCAGAGAGCTCTGCTTTTACATTTTAAGGTAGGGTTCACAAGTTGATCCCACTTTTCAATGGCCTAAACTGCTGTCAATTCCCAGCAATGACCGATAATTGGTCAGGAGAAAAGACTCCAAGCACTTCCCAGCAACTCCAACTCCCTTAAAGGTAAAGTAACTCCACGACACAAGGGATCCGGGCTAGTGCCGATGGATATCTCGGAGGAGTAGTCTCTTCTTTGTCCTTCTTGATTGAGTTACTTTAGCATAGGTTTGGCGGGTGTGGTGTTCAATTCAGGCAACGACCATTTTCCTGAGGCTCGTCCCTTTTGTCTTGCTTGATGGTCTCCGGCCGAAATCGGCCGGGCGTTGTCTTGGTCCGGAGGTAGACTTTCAGGCTAGTTCTTTTGTTTCTATGATGGTCTTTGTCCTGTCCTTTCCTCCGAGTTGATGAGCCTGCTGAGGTTTGTTATCTGGGGGGGTTCTTTTGCAATCCGTGACTTTGGAAAAGGAATTCTACCTCGACCTGGAGGAGAATTCCTTATTCCATATTTTCATTAGTTATAATTACACATACTTTATTTAAACCTTTTCTTCCGAATTTTTATTCACCCAATTCTTTATTACACCTGGCATAGTAAATGAGGTTTGACTGAAATTTAGTGCAGGAACCAGCAATAGAAACCAATCTATAATGCTGTGCGCTACAATACTGTAGGGCAAACCATAATCTATTTGAAAGAGCATTATGCATCCTCATGCAGAGTGTATGTTCTCTTCTGTACATCCTAGTGCTGCAAATAGTTTTCTCCAACTTTGTTATTAAGCAAATTGGATTTTTAGGTGATGGAGTGTGCAAGGACTCTTGGTAGCTTAGATAGTAAGAGACGCAACACTTGTAGCTCTGACTTCAAACTAACATGGGTTAAAGATGTCAACAACTTGCTTCTCCTGCTTTCTTTTCCACTAAGGAAAACTGAAACATGTGCACAGAACTACTGAACCCATTAGAATTCTGTAATAAATTAATCTATGAATAACAATTCGTAAAGGGTATAAATAAAATATATGTATGATTGCAATGACATAAAATACAACATGTAATGGGGGAAAAAGTCCTTCTCCGGATCTGGTCATGATTCCCCTCAGAGAGGCAACAGATTGCAGCCAAACACCCAGATAACGAACACAAGCAGGCACATCAGCCCAGGAAGAATGGGCAGGACATGGGCCATCAAATGAACAAAAGAACGGGCCCGGACAAGATATCGCCGGACCTGAGCACCTCTGCCCTGCCCGCCTGTGTTGGAGAAGTGGACAAAACTAGACAAAGGAAGAGGAGCCAGCCGAGATAAGCCATCGGCTCCAGGATGGGTCCCACCACTCCACCCTAATGGCCCGGACCAAAATGATATCAAAAAGACATCCTGGACCTCTTTACATATGAGGAGCCTCTGCCCAGTGTCTATTGACTCTATTCTCCAGTGCCAGGATATCTATTCTTCGAACAATCAAGAGCCTTTTAGCGAAGGGTGCCTGCTTGGAATTTGGCCTCGGGACATAAACTTCCTATAAAAACCCAGGCCAGGGGACTCTCAAGTGTGGATTTGGGAACACCTATACCTTGTGTATAGACCCTGTCCACCCAGCGCTGCGCTGTCCATTTTATTGTGGTTTTTCTCGCTGTTCGAATTTATTATTGTTTTATAATAAATTTCTCTTTTATTTAACCCGAAATTGCCTTTGCATTTATAACAAATTCTATGTCTCACTAGGCACATGCTGAGACCGTATCTCATATCCACAGGTCCTTGCCCTAAAAGTAACGCCAAAGCTGATGGTGAAAAGCTTCTCTAATTGACATCACACTTCGAAAATAAAGCAAAAGACAGATTAAGAATTTGTAAGTAAGGGTTTAGATACTAGGCCCCCTTCTCTAGACCCTCTTGTAGATTGCCCTAAATGATTGCTTAGTAAAAAATTTTCTCAAGTACACCCTCTAAAACAAATCTCTCATCTGAGTTATTATTCTGTTTTCTTATTTCAGTCCTATTTTTTTATTTCAGTCCTTTTATTTCCTATTTTTCTTATTTCTTACTTCAAAAAACATGAAGATGTAGGCTTGATGCTCTAGGTCACCTGTAGGTTAAGGGCCTAATACAGGCATTTGAGTGAAATTCTATGGCCCTTGTTTGTGACTGAAGGAGCTCATGTCTATGAATAGAATGTATCTTAAGGTAGCATTCTAAAATACATGATTTTCCCTAAAAAAATCTCTTTTTAAATTTTCTGTTAGCTGTTAAACATAAAAGTGACTACAATTCTACAAACATAAAATTTGCTACAATGTGTCTCATCTAGAAATTTATTGCATTGTTAACAAAGGAATTGCTATTGTAATTAATAACTTCATACTTACCTGTCATCTGCCTTACCTGTATATTCCAATGCATGGAATGTGCAAACTTTGCAGTTACATACAGTTGAGCATAGCACTTTGGGATGTTAATTTTGTTTTACTTAAATGAAAAAGTGACAGAAATTTAGAGTGGTTGGAATATAATTGAACATTATATATATGGTATATATTATATAATATATATGCATGTATATAAAAACCTCTCTGGTTTAATACAACACATCTCGAATGAAGGGTTTTAGCACAGAGGAAGAAAACTATTTCAATGAATTTCATGTTTTATTTTGGTAGGGATGTTTTTGGAGGTGCATATGCTTCATGTCATAAAGAAGAAAAGATATTTCTCCTTACATCAGACAACTTTTCACAACAAATCTTCCGCATTACTGTTCCTCGTTACTGGATAAAGCATATGGATTTATATCCTGTGAATGTCTCTATACGTCTTATTTGAAAGAAATCAAATAATCACATTTGCAGCACCAGAAAATTAACAAAAATCTAAGTAGTGAAAATCTAAGTAGTCTGGGAAAAAGTTATCAGGAATACTCTTGCATGTGAGAGAAGATGGCTTGTATGTTCTATTGCAGAGCTGATTGAAAAATTTAATTTCCAGTTTACAAACACTCTGGATATTTCAGCATTTTTTTTTTTTTAACTTAGGATGAAAATTCTAAATATCAGCATTTTTCATCTAAAGGGCACAGGCTGACATCTTTGTAACAAAATGGATCATGCAAAAAGATGTTTCTGTAT